CACCAGGTAGCCCACATCTGCTGAACGAGGCACCATTTCAGCCACCATGGAGCCACCAGTCTGGACTGGGTACAAAACCTGAGGAGGATTATCGTTCTGGTCCTGGATCAGGATTTTCACAGTCACGTTGCTGCTCAGAGGAGGAGAGCCTCCATCCTGCGCTTTAATGCTTAACTGGAAATCTTTGATCTGTTCATAGTCAAAAGATCGAACTGCATGGATGACTCCACTATCAGCACTGACGGACACATAGGAGGAGACTGGCACTCCGTTAACAGAGGAGTCCTCCAGTATGTAAGAAACACGAGCATTCTGGTTCCAATCAGTGTCTGTAGCTTTCACTGTGAACATAGACACACCTGGTGTGTTGTTTTCTACAATGTAGGCCTCATATGAGCTCCTCTCAAATAGAGGTGCGTTGTCATTGACATCAGAGACTTGCAAAGTGAGAGTGACGCTGCTGGAAAGTGAAGGAACTCCTTCATCAGAGCAGAGAACAGTGATATTATACCCGGATCCTGTTTCTCTGTCCAATTTACTTTCTGTCACAAGATTAAAGAAACCACCTGTTGCTAGTTTTAATGTAAAAGGAATCTGTTCATTAATTGCACAGTGAACTTTGCCGTTTTCTCCTGAATCTATGTCCTGAACATTTACCATGGTCACTATTGTCTCCGGTTTAGAGTCTTCTGGAATTATGTTAATCTGTGATATTACATTAATAACGGGTTTATTATCATTAATGTCTGCAACATCAACAGTTACTTTACAGGAATCTGTTAATCCTCCTTCATCACTTGCTTGTACGTGTATCTGATAGTAACGCGCTTTCTCGTAATCTATACTATCAGCTAATATCAGATCGCCATTTGATTCATTCATCTTAAACAAATCTCGTATATCTGCTATTGTATTGGAGATAGAATAAAGTATTTTGGAGTTTAATCCTTTATCTGCATCAGAGGCACTAACTCTGATTACAACTGTACCCTTAGGGGCATTTTCTGGAATAGTAGCTTTGTAAAGTGGCTTCGTAAAAACTGGCGCATTGTCATTAGCATCAAGCACCGTGACGTGTATTTTTGCTGTGCCGGTTAGTTGCGGTTCTCCTCCGTCCACTGCAGTTAACACTAAAAATAGCTCCTCCTGTTTCTCTCTGTCAAGAGATTTCTGCAAAACCATTTCAACAATCTTTTCACCGTCTGGTTGATCTTTCAGCTTCAAAGCAAAATGTTCTGTTTTGGAGAGAAAATAACTCTGAAGACCGTTCATGCCAACATCGGGATCTATGGCTCTCTCCAGCAAGAATTTTGCTCCTATCACCGCCGACTCGCTTATTTTAAATTTCATGTCCGACTTTTCAAATAATGGAGCGTTGTCATTTAAATCGACAATTTCAACAGCAACAGTGTAAAACTCCATGGGATTTTCCAGAATAACCTGAAAATGAAGGGCACAAGGCGTCGTCTGGCCACAAAGCAGCTCCCTGTCCATCTTTTCTTTGACAATGAGGACTCCCCGTTCTCTTTTCAGCTCAATGTAATCCGTGTTGTCTCCAGTAAAAATTCGAGCGTTTCCCGAAGATAACCGTTTACTGTCCAAACCCAAATCCCGAGCGATGTTACCGATTAATGATCCTTTTGGACTTTCCTCGGGAATGGAGTAGCTGA